TCCCATTCCCTCTGAGTGTTAAACTTACCACGAAGGCTATGCTTTCATTATTATTCATTTCTCAAGAATTTGACATGAATTTCAGGAATAAAACTCACAATGCAATGGAGCTTTCACCCAGTCTTCTGGCAGGTGAAGGATATATCATTTTGTTTGTGATCTGGTTCCTGCATTTCTATCATGGCTGTAAAAAGTAGACTCAGTTCTCCTGAACTTAGCAAAAAGCCACAAAACAAACATCTTTTTTTTTTCTTTGGTTTTTCAAGACAGGCTTTCTCTGTGGTTTTGGAGGCTGTCCGGAAACTAGCTCTTGTAGACCAGGCCTGTTTGGAACTCACAGAGATCTGCCTACCTCTGCCTTCCGAGTGCTGAGATTAAAGGCATGTGCCAGAACTTCTTCTTTTGTGTCCTAAAAATCTCTCTATCTTTTAATATCCTGGGCACCCTTCTATCTGTTGAATAGGAGAATCATTCAAGTCCGCATTGTGTAATGGTCTGTGCAAATTAGGCACACTGTGAGTAGGAGAAAGAAGAGAATGTACCTATGAACTTCAGGAAGAGAGCTGGTTCATCTATTGGAAACAGGGGTAAGTTTTATTGAAATGAGCATCTCTGCAGATCTCTAAAAGGTCCGGGTCTGGAGTAGAAGCCAGGGCCAGGGACCTCTGTGCTGTCTCTTTAAGCACACTCTAACCCTTAAGGAAGTGCTCTTGTTGCTCAAGCCTCACTAGCCAATTAGGGACACCAGGCCAACCAGCCAGTCACAAGTCTTTCAGGACACTTCCTGGAGCCATGCTGTATATTTGGTTTTACAGCAGAACAGGCACTAGTGGATTGATTGCTGTCCTGTGACTGATGTCATAGGGAACTCTGTGGGGAGAATGGATGAGCACGGAAGCCACAGCATGGTGAGTGAGGGGATACTATCCAAAGATGGTGGAGGGGACAGAATGGGGAGGTGTAGGAGACAGTGTGGCAGGCCCTCCTGGAGGCTGGGTAGGAACCTGCTGTTCAGTGTTCTGTGAGGTCCCATATGATCCTAGCAACTCACGAGACCCTGGCGCTGACCTATGAATACTTGACTCTGTGGGCTGAATCTGTGAAAAGCATTTCAATCAGGGAGTTTTGTGTAGAAACATCTTTGTAGTCAACACCAACATGCTTTTGGTGCATACTGAAGCAAGTTGCCAAACTTGGAGCAGCTTTGCTTCTCTAGTGTCTTCTAGAAGTTCTGCACTTCACATTTAACATTTAGGTGTAAGATACACTTGAGTTAATTTTGTGCATGGTATAAATGACATTCTTTTTATTTATTTATTTATTTATTTATTTATTTATTTATATTATTTATGTTTGGTTTTAACAGTATTCTCTGTATAGCTTTGGAGCCTGAGTTGGAAGTTGCTCTGTAGAGCAGGCTGGCCCTAACTCATAGAGATTTGCCTGCCTCTGCCTACCCAGTGATGGGATTAAAGGCATAGGCCACAAAAGATATCCGTAAATGAATGCACTCCACAACTAAGCTGTGATGTGGAAGAATTGTTGATATAAAGTATTTACCAATTCTTAGGGAGTAGTGAGTCCCACAAAATAGAATTGAATTGAGGAAGCGCTCTAACATAACCCAAAAATAAGTAGTATGCTAACTAGGCCTATTAGAGATTAGGATGCTAAAATACACATTTGTTCTCCATGATTGTCCAGACATTTGGTTCCAAACCATGACAAATGAGAAACCCCTGATTTACAGCCTCTCGGCCCATCCCCATTACAGAGAACAGGGCTTTCACAAGCTGCTTAAGAGGGCATTACGTGGTCACAATGAACATTAGGGCATGGTGTGCCATAAAGGTCCAGTTTCCTTCTAGAGAAAAATCATAGTTTTGCCAGATGGGATACATGGGATACGATGACAAGTATTTGAAAAGAAAACACTGCTGTGTTGAGGGTTGAGAATGAGCAAGCAAACCCAGGAACATGCTTGGTAGATTCAGTAACAGCCTGGGACATAGCCCTGTGAGTTTTCCATCAGGCCCTGAGATATCAAGTATAAAATAGAACTCCTCCTTTAAAACAAGGAAGATGCTTGGAGAGAATGTAATGGTCTGGAGCCAGGGCCTTCGTGGAGGGTTCGCTTCAGATCCCGAGAATACAACTCTTTCCACGACGTGGAGTTGTGGTTATGGGTCCCAAGGTCACTGTGGGCTTAGTCAGTAATGTTTTTGGGATACCCTGTGTTCCCCTTGTGCTGCATTGTTTAAGTAACTTTCTCTTGAGTTTGTCCCACTGTATGATAGTTTCTGCTGACTTCTTAGAAGTCTCCCATTTCCCCCTGGAAATAGTATATAAGAAGCTATTCTTTTTAAGAAGCTTACTTAAAATAAGACATAGCTTAAGTAAGACCTACCTGCCCCAGCTTTTATCTTTTCTTTGTTCTGCTTTTCCTGTCTTTCTCATCTTCTGGCACCTCTACCTCAAGACCTGCCAGTAAAGTATGATGTAATGTTTCATTTTACTCGTGTACTATGAAATAATTATGGTGATATCTTTTGTTGTTTAAGTCTTTCATTTGCCTAACTGTCCCTACTTGCAGTTTCCTGTCAACTATTTAAATTTTTCAAAGTGTAAGCTGGACTCTGACCATAAAGGAACTTAAAGATGACAGCATATGTGGAATGCAAAATCTGTTTTAGGAGCCAGGTGCTGGTGGTGCATGCCTTTAATACCAGCCCTCAGGAGTCAAAGGCATGCAGATTGCATTGAGTTCAAGGCCAGCATGGTCTACAGAGGTAGTTTCAGGTCAACTACCGCTGTTGCACAGAGAAACCCTGTCTCAAACAAAACAAAACAAAACAAAACAAATCTGTTTTAGGCTCTCTCCTCTTTGAACATTAGCCAGAGACGGATGCATGCTATCATTACAGAGATTTTTCTTTATTAATCTCTTAAGTCTGTGGAGTTATTTCTCATTGGAAAGGCATAGTAATTCTAGAACAGCTGCACTTTCAGCCTTTTAGGAAATGTTTTTGAGACAAGCTCTCTCATGTTGACACAGGTGGACTTGATCCCAGTCTTGTTTTCCAGGGCAATTACCTTGATGCCCTCTTGTTTACCCCTTCTTAAATTAGGTGACTCTATGACCTCAGAGTTTTGAAATAATCCATTTGGGTCATGTTGTTCATTTTCCATTGCAGTCACAGGAAAAGGATTTACATTTGGAGCAAGGTTTCTGCCTTCAGACCAGAGTTGAAAGAATAGTTTGTTGAGTGTATTGCAAGGGGGAAACAGGGTTGGAAATAAGTTGCTTGAGTCACCATCATGAAAAAGGACCTGATTGTGGCAATGTGATAGTTTGAATGTAATTTGCCCTATAATATCATAGGGAGTGGCACTATTAGAAGGCATGGCTTTGTTGCAGTGAGTTTGGCATTTTTGGAAGAAGTGTATTATCACTGGTGATGGGCTGTGGGATTTTCTATGCTCTGGATACTGCCAAGCATATTAGTCAACTTCCTGTGACATGCATATCAAGATGTAGCCAGCACCGCATTATTCTTTACATCATGCTCCCCACTATGATGCTAATGGACTGAACCTCTGAAACTGTAAGTGAGCTGCCCCAATTAAATGTTTGTTATAAGAGTTGTGGTGGCCATGGTGTTTATTCACAGTAATAAAAATCCTAACTAGGACAGGAAGATTCAGTGATTTTTTTCTTTAAATTTCCAGGATGTATTAATTCATGTCATAAGAATGAAGACAGACCGGATTTGTGGGTTCACAATATGGGAAGGTTATATTGAGCTCAGGCATGCCCCCAGGCTATGTGGTTGAGAATTGCTTTGAACACAGATAATCCTGCCTCTGCTACCCAGTGCTGGGAGGACACTGCTACAATTCCTTCAAGATTGGACTTTGACTGGTCATTGAGAAGGAAATATTGACCATTTAATGAGTGTTTACCAATCCCTCTGGCTTGTATTGGGGACTACAAATAAAGAGAGGTCTATGAAAGAATTGAGTTCATTTACCAGCTTTGAAGCTGGTGTAGGCACAGTGCAGAAAAGGGTGGGAGAAGGAAGGACCATGAGCAATTTCCTGCTCTTCAGCAGTGGAAATTAGCAGTATGGAGTCTTGTAATCAATTTTAGATGATTGATAAAATTCCTGACTACCCATTTCTTGGGGTCCCACAGAGAAGGGCAAACAATATCTGGATAAAGGACTGATGCTATCATGAAACCAAATTGCTGTAGTTATACTAATTCAACCAAACTAGAAAATCTGTGTAATACGGTGTGACCCTTCCTAATAGGATTATTATTCTACTGGTTTAAGATGTACAGCCCAAGAAAATACATGAGTGATCCTTGGTGTTCTCTCATCCAAATCCCTTATCTCTGGAGCAGATGGCCATAAAGCCTATTGCAACTTTTCAAAAGAATTCTCCAGATTATAATTGCCTCATATCTATATATAGTGTCTATAGTGTCTTTCCTGCCTTCAAGCCCTACTATGACCCCTCACTGTTTTCTAGTTAATGACCTGTTTTCTTTAACATCAGTTACACAGTAACAATACTGTGTGACCTATGAATGTTTGAATGTGACCTGTGTATGGCTGTGGGACTTCCAAGAATTAAGTCAAGTATTGGCTTCCCTGGATACTGAGTGTGTAATGGCATGTGCACATAAAAAGCCTTGTGCTTTGGAAGAGAACAGAAAGTGCTCTGGGAGATTGGGAGAATGTCTACTAAAATACAAACTTCCCAGACTAGGGCTCTGTCTGCTGGGATGGAAGGGCAGTGCTAGGAATGCCTATGCTGTCTGAGCTATTTGGTCTCCACCTACCCGAGAGGGGAGTTGCTGATGCTCTGTGGTCCAACATTGTGGCCCTAGCTAATGAGGCACTCTGGGAAAGCTTAGCACTCAGGAGGACCAGTTGGAGGCACGTTCTCTCCAAGATTCTCTGCTGGTTCTCTTATAGGAGCTATAATGAAGAATGAGTGTGAAGGCTTCAGAGCAGGAGGAGCAGGTCTGCCTAGCTGTCATTGCTGCTGGGACTGTGAGGGACCATGAGCCATGTGCTCTCCTGGGCAGTGGCTCTTGTACTCTGTGCTTCCCTGAATGTAAGTTCCCTGGGGAGAGAGGGAGGCTTTGCAACCCTGGCTGTGGGAAGCTGTGATACTTCTAATATCAGTGTCCAGTATGCATCACAGGGTTGCTTTAGGTGTGTGGTGGGATCATACATTGGAAAACTGAAAGTGTGGCTTCTAGAATTTATGAAAATTACATTCCACTTTCAAGTTTGTCTTACACGTGATATCCACAGTTTAGAAATTGGTAGAAGAAGGTGATGGGGATCATCTTTCAGCAATATGTGATCGGAATGCTTTTAACTTTCTGCTACTACCAGCTACCATGATGTGATTCAGAAAGTTGAGTTCCAGGGAACGAGAGGAATTTCCGATTTGCAGAAGTTTCTCAGGTGTGCATAGTGTTGGGTGGGTGGATAGGGCAGATTCCATATATTGTGTCATGATACATGTGGCAGGAAGCAGACGCTAGATTGTTTTTCTATGTTATTTCTGTGTGGGTATCAATGGGGCTGTGTTTGCTTCAAACCACAAGGGGATGTGAGAGTTTGCAGAACCATAGCAAGATATTACCCTCATTTGTAGAGAGAGCTCTAGACCGTGGGGAGTGACTGTTTGGAAGAAATATCGATAGCTAGCAGGTCAGAAGCAGAACAGTTTAAGGGTCCTTTAGAGTTAGTTTTCTGGGAGTTGTGAAGTCTGTTTATTTAATTTCTAAACACATAGAATCATGGGTAGCTGAGTAACATTTGTCAAAATCTCAGTTTACCTGGTTGAGTTTCCTTTTTTTTTGATGAAAAGTTGATTATATTTTCTTGCTTTTGTTCTTGGCTTTTACTCTCCACCTCATTTATTCTTTCCAAATATTGTACATGTTATCAATTGCTGCAGATTTGTTGTAAGTATAGAAGTCACATTGTGCCAATATGTGTACTATTTTTTTTTGTAATCCTCTTGAGAATTCTATCTGTTTCCAACTTGCATGTAGCTTTAGAATCAGATACCCTGTTATAAGGTGTTGGACATTTTCTTTGGATTGTATTCGGTTCTTGCTGCAAATTTACCTTATACAGTGTCTTAATATTGAGGCATCAAGTTCCCAATGATTATTTACTTACTTTATTTATGTAGGCTCTTTTATTCTTGTTATGTTTATTCTCTGAAAGACTTTTAGTGTTTTGCCTAAAAAGTACTATGGGATTTGGTAGGTGGCTCAGCACATATTCTTCTTTAAGATGACCTGAGTTCAGATTCCCAACACCCAAATTTGGAGGTGCATAACTATCTGCTACTCTAGATCAGGTTATCTAACTCCCTCTTCTCTGGTATGTCACATGTACACACATGGAAAACCTCTCTCACACACAAACTGTATACATAAAAATTGGTATAAACTTATTTTTAAAATTCTTGTTACTTATAAAACATGAGAGCAAAACCAGTAACTTTGGGTACATAATACAAATCATACATTGTTTCTTTTTAAATTTATTTTTAAAATTTAGTTTTCTGTTTACATACCAACCCCAGTTCCCCTCCCTCCCCATCTCCTGACCCCTACCTCTCTCCCTTCCTATCTCTCATTCATTCCACAGAGTGGGTAAGGTCTTCTTTTGTTACTCAACAAAGTCTGGCATACCAAGTTGAGAAAGGTCTAAGTCACTCCATTCTGTATCGACTGAGCAAGGCATCCCTCCACAGGGAGTGGGCTCCAAAAAGCAAGTTCATGAGCCTGGGATGGGTCCTTGCTTCACTCACAGGGCCCCTCAACAGATCAAGTCACGTAATTGTCACACACACTCAGAGGGTTTAGTTTGGTGCCATGAAGGTTCACCAGCTGTCAGTCCATAATCTGTGAGCTCCTACAAGTGACTGTAGTAGTAGGTGTGGCTTTGTTGGAGTGGGCTTTTCCTTATTAGAGAAAGCATGCCACTGTGGGGTCAGGCATTGAGGCTTCCTATACTCGGAATGCTGCCCAGTGTGTCTGTCAGTCAACTTCCTGTTGCCCCTGAATCAAGATTTAAGGACTCTGACCTTCAGCACCACATCTGCCTGCATGCTGCAATGCCCCCTGCCATGATGATAATTATCTAAACCTCTGAAATTTTAAGGGATACACCTCAATTAAATGTTTTCTTTGTAAGAGTTGCCATGATTTATGGCATCTCTTCACAGCAATGAATACCTAACAGAGACAGAAGCTGGTACCAGGAACTGGGGTATTGCTGTGATAGGCTGGCCCTATCACACAATTTCTCTGATGTGTTCTCAGTAGTGTTGATCTCATACTTACCTCTCCCTTTATGTCTGTACATTGGGAGTTCTTTCTCCAGGCTATATGCTACTTAAAGGACCAAGAAATGGTGCATGTGAACCTCCTACTCAGTTTCCTTCTAAAGTGACTGGATGAATACATTATAATGTTCATGTAATGAAATAAGTGTGGGAAGGACCTAAATGATATGAATATACTGTCAAAGAAGTATACAAAAACAGTGTATCACATTTCCTGTTTTACACATGTATGGGTTATTTTAAGATGCAGTGACCTATGATGATGTGCATATAAACTTCACTCAGGAAGAGTGGGCTTTGTTGAATCCTTCTCAGAAAAGTGTCTATGAAGATGTGATGCTGGAGACCTATGGGAACCTCACTGCCATAGGTAAGACTGAATTTATCTTCACGATTTAAAATAAGGGGACAAATGTTTCTTGGTTATTGATACTCTTCTGTAATTTTGATTGAGAAAAAGGAAAATTAGGTGAATAAGACATAGTTCTAATGTTTATTTAAGATATTATCTTAAATTTTGTACAATTTCTATTCATAAATCATGTATTTTCTGGTATTGTATTTTAGGCTACAGCTGACATGGCCATAATACTGAAGAACATTGTGAAATTTTTAGAAGACACAGAAGGTAATTTTCATGTACCAGTTTATCCAAATTTGCATCTGCAGAGATTTTAATGTGTCCTGGATGTTTTAAAGGAAAGCAACTGTGTAAATAAGTATAGCTTAAAGTATATTAATGATTCCTAATTTCTTATAAAACAGGTACCTCAATATCAGCTATTATGTGTTTTAAGGCATTCCCATGAAAAAGAAGACAAGTAAACAATGCCTTAACAGATACCAACATTTGAATTATAGCCCCATGAAAGCTATGCTGTAGAAATGCCAATCCATTTTGTTTCATATTGCTCAGATATTTTAAGTGGCATAATTGTTGAATAGATGATATGTATGTGTCCAAGACTTTCTAAGAAAAAAAGAGTCTATAGTGAAGCTGTCATTACTCATATGTTTGTGACTTTGCTAAGTGTATGGAAAGGTTCTGTTTATGAGAGTCAAGAAGGTTATTGTTGAGAATCCTTAATTCCTATACCACATGTCTATGAGGAAAAGAAAGTCAAGCTGTGTGAATGCAATGTGGAAACCTTTTATTTGTTATTCTTCCTTTATTAAGAATATCATGTCAAGGAGGGCAGAGGTAGCACATACCTTTAATCCATGACTCCATAGGCAGACACAGGTGGATCTCTATGAGTTGGAGGCAGCCTGGTCTCCAGAGAGAGTTCCAGGACAGGCTCCAAAGCTACACAAAATAAACAAGAAAAACCCATATCATATGTCACACTAAATACAAGCCAAGTGAGCCTAGAATATGGAAAGAAGCAATGTAGCCCCCCTTTCACTCTCAGAACAATTAGTAAATATGAAAGTTATTTAGGAGCTCCCACTTCGAGTAGATTTGTTGAATGTGACATCAACAAACACTGCAGAAAAGCCCTATAAGCATTGGAATGTGAGAATACTTCCATTTATCCTGGTGCATCCTGCCAGTATAGTATGCCTCACACTATAGGAAAATTTATGAATGCAAAAAATATGGCAAAGCTATGAGTTGCTCCAGTTCTTTTCAAATATGTGAAATATCTCACATAAAAAAGATGCCATAAATGCGGGCCATGAAATAAAATGTCTTACTATCACAGGTATCTTCAAAGCCACAAAACAACCTATCACAAAGGGAAGCATCATGAATGTAAAACTTAAGATCTGATTCCTCTTTACAATTAGGCCAAATTATAAAATTAATTTATACAAATACTAAGTTTTATCAGTATAATGCATATGGTAAAGCTTTTACATGTGCCAATTGTCTATGCAGAAATGAAAGAAGCCATACAGTAGAGAAAACCTATGAATATACTCAATGTGTTAAAACTTCTGTGTGTTACAGGAATCTTCAAAGGCATGAAAAAATTCACACCAGCGAGAAACCATATGAAAGTCTTCAATATGGTGAAATCTTTGCATGTCACAGTTTTCTCCAACTCCATAAAGAAAACATACTGGAGATAAAACCAATGAATGTAATCAGTGTGGTAAAGCTTTTACAAGTCATGGTCAGCTTCAAAGACATAAAAGAACACATAAAGATGAGAGAGCCTTCAACTGAAGTCAATGTGGTAAAACCTTTATATGACTCAGTTATTTCCAAGTACATCAAAGAACACATACAGGAGAGAAACCCTATGAATGTAATCAATGTGATAAAGCTTTTGCAAGTCATAACCACCTTCAAAGACATAAAAGAACACATACTGGAGAGAAACCCTATGAATGTAATCAATGTGGTAAAGCTTATGCATGCCATGGTAATCTTAAAAGACATAAAAGAATACATACTGGACAGAAATTCTATGTATGTAATCAATGTCATAAATCTTTTGCAAGTTACGGTCAACTTCAAAAACATAAAAAAACACATACTGGAGAGAGACCCTATGCTTTTGCAAGTCATGGTGATCTTAAAAGACACATACTGGTGAGAAACCCTACAAATGTAATCAATGTGGTAAAGCCTTTTAACATGTCAGTAGTCTCCAAATACATAAAAGAACACATACTGGTGAGAAACCCTATGTATGTAATCAATGTGGTAAAGCCTTTTCACAACATTGCACCCTCATAAGTCACAAAAGAACACATACTGGAGAGAGACCCTATGAATGTAATCAATGTGCTAAAGCTTTTTCACAACAAAGCATTCTTGTAAGTCATAAAAGAACACATAGCAGAGAAACCATATGACTGTAATCAATGTGGTAAAGCTTTCTCACATATCAGTAGTCTGCAAACACATCAAAGAACACATAGTGGAGAGAAACCCTATGAAAATAATCAATGTGGTAAAGTCTTTCACAACAGTGCAATCTGGTAAGTCATAAAAGAACACGTACTTGAGAGAGAACCTGTGAGTGTAACTAATGGGGTAAAGTCTTTGTATGTAACCTCCATCTTTAAAATCATGAAAAACATACTGCAGAGAAATCCTATAAATATAATCAGTGTGGTAAAGTTGTGCCTTTGCATATCACAATAATTTTTGAGGGATTGAGAAAGTTCATACTGAAGGGAATCTTATTATAAAGGATTTGGTTCGAGGTTCAGTCAACATACATTTGGTTACACAAGATTCTGGAGAGAAAACTGACAAGTGTCAACAATCTGATCAAGCATTATGATGTCTCTATTTTGTTTGCACCTACAAGCTTGTATGGACAAAAGTCCTACGAATTCAATGATAAGGTAACCCTTTTTGATTTTACACTTTTCTTTAATTACATTTAAAAACCTCATTCAGATTAGTAAGTTTCTCTAAATCCAATCCTATGTGCTTGATTTGTTACATGAACCAATTCATGGTGAAGGAAAACTGTTAAGACTTTAAATGCCTCAACACTTGAGTTACAGGAATAACTGCTTACAAGGAAAAATATTCACATGTGAAAATCTGTTTGGTTAGAGATTTAATTATGTGATGTCAGTGTGTGGGTTTGTGACTACTCATGCTTGTTCCCAAGAAGTTTAGACCCTTGAGTATTCCCATAACAGGAACCACAGAAAATTCCAAAAACCTGACCTAGGTCCTGGCAATGAGCTCCTCATAATTTGCTCATCCATATTTTTAACCAGAATCTAAAGAGAGAGTGTCTCCTACCCCAAGTTCTTTTATCCCCCCCCCTACATTCTACATACTGGTGACCACGCCCAATGGGTGTGGTTAGCAATATGGGTATTAGATCTCTCCCTGCACCCTATAATTGAAGTTCCTCTTCCCAAATAATCCAAGCTTATGTCATGTTGAGGAAAAGCCAACCAGATAAAGTCATGAGTTAAGAGCCAGCCTTAGCTATGTAGTGAAAATAAAATAAAGTAGCAAACTAAAAAAAAAATTAACTAACTAACTAAATAAACTCTCACAATTAGTTATCTTTTAGTATTACTCTTTTCAAATAATTTGATCCTCTCCCAAGACTTTATCTTTTCTTAAGTTCAGCTTTTACCGAAGCATGATGATTTTGTTCAGAGGTATAAAACAGAAGGATGGTTTGGATGTGGGTAAGATCTGCTCCAGGTATCATGCACTTTGATCTTTATTCCTAAATAAAGTCACAGGATGGCGCCTGAGGAATAATACGTAAAGTTGTACTCTTGCCCCCTCATGAACATTGCATCCCATACACACATGTGTATCTTCATATGAATACACATGCAAAATAAAAAGAGAAATTAAGATTAGGAAGAGTGAGAAGTAAAATGTCTAGGAGTTCATTAATATGACTTTTTTTTTGCTAGAGAGCAAGTTGAATTTTGGGACTTTAGTGGGATGATTGAAGTCTTAGGGAATAAGATTCAGAAGAGCTATTTAATTAAAGAGACTTAGTAGGAATGATTGAGTGTAAATTAGTGGAGCAGATGTTAGCTAGGCATAATGGCTATAGAGAACCAGAAAATGTCTTATCATTAGGGGACTAAAAGAACAAAAGCACACCATTTGTCTTGTTAATGTAAACTCATATGTTCAAAATTCCTCTTAAAACTATGAGGCCCTAGCTTACTATAGAAAGATCTTTATGCAGAAGGTCTCTTTATCTTCTCCATGGATGAGAATCCCATTACCTGTTTTATTACACACATGTGACCAATAACAGTATGCATAAAAAGTGAATGAACATTTACATCCTAGCATCTGAGCTCTAACAGCCCTGGGTAACACACTATTTATCTTTATGCTATTTTAGAGACAGCCCTCCCTTAACTAAATTCTACTTTGTGTGACTAGCTCCTAATCATTGGTAAATCCTTTATGTCACCAATTCTACTCTTCTACATCACAGCTTTGTAGTGGAGTGCTACCCAGTATATGAGATGCCATTTACGAACTCCACAAATTAACTCCAAATGAATCTTATACCTTAATGTTAAATTCAAAATGCAGAACTTTTAGAAGACACTTGAAACTAGGCCCCTATGCAATATGTGTAGGCCTTGTGAATTTTCTCTAAGGCCCTGATATATTGAGAAAGAAACAGAGCTTCTTCTATAAAACAAGGAAATTGCTTGATAGAGCTGGTAAAGGTCTGGAGTCAGAGTCTTTAGGGAGGGATGGATTCAGATCCCGAGAACCCATCTCTTTCTATACATGGGGCTGTGGTTATCAGTCCCAAGGACACTGTGGACTTTGTTTATATCTCCTTGAGTTACCCTGTGTTCCTCTAACCCTAACCTAACCATAGCCTGAAATTAGTGTATAACAGTCCTAAAATGTAGACAATTAGTACCCAAAGCCTGTATCTCTAATCCTATTAGGCATAGATAAAACACTACATAGGACAGTGATATTAAAAGAAGAAAAAATTTAAGAATTACTTCATGAAATAATGAGGTAAGGTCTTATAATATTGTGAAACATTTTTAAATCAACTATTTGAAGAATAGTCATGGGACTCATTAAGCTAACAAGATGAACTTTATCTCCTAGAGCTGATTTTAAAGTTTTGTCCTCTGGGGGCCTTATCAAAAATGAATCATAGTCTTGTGAGTAACATCTACAGGCAGACATTTGATGAAATGAGGATCTCTTGGGAAACTAAGAGGGTAACAAGTGAATATCACTGTGGAGCTGAGAAAATTCATGATTTTAATACAATATAGGAAAAATGCTCCACTGAAGAAGGAAAAAGTAACCTAAAGAATACTGTATTGTAAAGTTATAAGCAAAACCATGTTTCATTGAATAAAAAAGAACCATTAATGTTTCCACTAAGTAATTCTGTTTATCTTAATGTTCGAAACTTTTCAAGTGGATGGAAACAAAGCATTAAGAGTTTAGTTTATTTATAATGAGTCATTTTTTGAAAATGTCTTCTTTAAAAAACTAAACATAATTGTTAATCATTATAGAATTCTACCAAATGATTCAATACTAGACAGCATCTTTCTCAATTTCTATTGAAAAGCTTAAGAGCTTAGTCTCTACACTAAAATCACTATCAGACAAAAACAAAAGAAACACAGAGAAATACCACCAAGCAATATTAATGAAAATATTGTAAATGAAATGCAAGAAAACTAATTTTGATAGCTCAATTTAAAATTATGTTCATGAACAGGTTAAATTTATACATTCAATACAACATGGCATAATCTATGAAAACCAATCAATATATTATGTCAAATTGACAAAATAAAAAGGCTCCTGACCATTACAATCAATTCAGAGAAATATTTGATAACTTTGAATACAACAACAGTTTAGAAGGGAAATATAGAAGCAGCATGGAAGGGAAGCATCTCAATTTAAAATACCTAAATAGAAAAACTCACAACTAGCATCACACTCAATGGAAAAGTATTGAAATCTATCCAGGATTATAAATAAATCAAAAGTACCTCTTTCACTAATGTTAATCAACAACATACTTAAATTTCTGTGAAGGCCACACAAACAAAAGAGATAAAAAGTACATCCTCATTAACATATCCATCACCTTGGATAGATAGGTAGGTATTTTAAATGAATACATTTAAGATACAAATTTCCAAATATATAATGCATTACTGTATGTTAATTGTGCTATAGGTCTACAGAGATAACTCATCTTATATGAAAAAATGTTATGTTGAACTAAATCGTGTGATATAAAACATAACTACCATCTATAAAAAGCTTCAAACAGACTTTGGGATCTCCTGGCAGGTTGACTTTCACTGCCACTCAGGGCAAAGGTGAGCTTCAGTTCCCACCTCTGGCCTGACTTCTGCTTACCCACTCTGGGATCTCCTGGCCTGGGGACTACAGACAGGTTGACTTGCCCCCATCTCACCAAGCAACCACAAGTCTGCTGATGGCACTGTCCTAATCCAGCTCCCACCCACCAGAAAACAGAGTGCCTCAGACACACTTGCACTTACCTTGAGACCCATCAGAGTATTAGACCTGCATGCACCCACTGTAAGAGAACCTTGGACCCATACCCATCAAGAGAGGAAGAGACCCCACCTGTACCCACTGGAAGAAGGGATGGGAAGACGACAATATAAGAACACATTCAAGAAACAGAAAAACCAATATGACTCTACCAGAGTCTAGAGACTCTACACCTGAACATCCCAACACAGGTGAAGCAGAAGAGAAAGACCTCAAAAACAACTTCATGAAGATGATAGAGGCCCTAAAAGAGGAAATGAGAAAATCCTTTAAAGAAATGGAAGAAAAGACAAACAAAAAATCACAAGAAACTATTCAAACAGTGCAAGGATTGAAAGCTGAAATAGAGACAATTAAAAAAAAGT